CTTTCTGTCGTCACTCGGCTCGGCTAATGTCCGTCTTGTGCACTGAACGCTCTCTCCTCTGCATCATGAGTAGACATGCCCCTTACTGCTGATTGGCTACAAGTTTGTTTTGGTACTCGGCCCAACTCAGTTTTCTAATGCGTTTTTGAAAAAATACATACCCCACCTTTAAATGAATGCCAAAACTCAGAATTTTGTTTGCGTACCCCCTCCGTCACCTCACATATCCCAGTTTGAGAACCACTGGACTAGAGTATACCCTGCTTGTTGAAAAGTGCCTCCAAAGGCAGCATTTTAGAGTTTTCGGATGCAGCCATTGTTATATGTCAGTAAAACAACGTTTCCTGTCCTGTCAGCCGTTTTACTTTGCTCACGGCACATGCTCTTCAACTGTACGCAAATATGAGGCGCACGCTCACTTCATAAATAAAACGCACTAGAAACTGCGAGCATACATCGTCAGTTAAGTCACGAAATTACCAAAATGGCGATTAAAACTGCAAAACTGTGCATGCATGTATGTGAATTACATTTAAGAACGTCTCTCAAATTAATGCAGCCTACTGAAATATTCTGCAATTCGAGATCACAATAGGGCGCAATAGGCACGATTAATCGAATGCGATTGTCATGCGCATTTTGTTAGTAAAGCCGGTTCTGTAATCAGCAGGGAATCATCATCACGTGCTTTCAGATGGAGCAGAGTTTACTACACATAGCCGTAGTTCACTGACAAGTTACGCAAAAAAATCGCAGACGATTTTATTGCGCGATTCTGAAATCGAAGAAATCGTTCACGATAATGACAGCTGTTTGCATAGCTTCTCAGTGAACTACGGCTCTGTGAAGGGAGTTTCAGTGCGAGAGCACCCTCTGGCCTTTGGATGGATATTTACTGATCACAGAACCGTGCTTCACTGAAAGATATGCATGACCATCGCAGCTTCTGTCGAATCGCGATCACGATTCCATTTCGATTTATCGTGCAGCCCTAGGGCGCAAGATGATAGGCTATGTAATTTTTTAAAATTTATAATTTAATGCACAAGTAGGCCAAATGTGAGCACAGTGCAGTTAAATGTACTAGAAAATATGCTCTAATTTTTCGTTAATTTGTAAAGTAATTTTCCATTCTTACAGTATTTTCCTTTGTAGCCTACAGAGCTCGATTTAGGTATGACAAAAGTGCTGCAATGAATTTATTTTGACAACTAATAGAATGTTAAACATTGACTGATTACTTTTTCAGAGTTCATTGATTATATAAAATTCACTGAAGGTTGACTATAGTTATCTGCATGTCTCATTCATGAGTGGGCCTATGCAATGATGGAGAACAAGATGCTGGGTGTGTTAAGACCCAGAACCAAGCTTACTGAGCAATAAAGCTAGAGTTTGAGCCCTTTTCTTAAAATACCTGGAGTCTAGGTAATACAAAAATAATAAAAAAATTGTCATTCACTCAGTATTACTTGATGTAATTCACAACTATCTCAATTTCAATTAAGTACAGATGAATTGTATTCAGCTGTGTTTAAGGCACTAAAACAGCCCAGTACTTTATAGTCAAATACATTTCTATATTGAAATAATGAAGATTTCTGTGCCACCCCAGACTGGTTGCTGCCCCCTTCCTGGCCACCCCTATGAAAACATCCTGGCTCCGCCACTGCCTAAGAGGGCAACGTGATTAATATCAGTTTATTTCTGAGTATCTCAATTGCTCAAAAAAAAACAAAAACACACACGTTTGTGAATGGGCATTTGATTTACATTTGAGAGAAACTGAGAAGATTGTAAACAAGGATACAAATACTTGATGTAATTCACAACTATCTCAATTTCAATTAAGTACAGATGAATTGTATTCAGCTGTGTTTAAGGCACTAAAACAGCCCAGTACTTTATAGTCAAATACATTTCTATATTGAAATAATGAAGATTTCTGTGCCACCCCACCCAGACTGGTTGCTACCCCCTTCCTGGCCACCCCTATGAAAACATCCTGGCACTGCCACTGCCTAAGAGGGCAAAGTGATTCATATCAGTTAATTTCTGAGTATCTCTATTGCTCGGGGGAAAAAAAAACATGTTTGTGAATGGGCATTTGATTTACATTTGAGAGAAACTTGAGAAGATTGCAAACGAGGATACAAACTAGCCACTTTTCACTGAAAATTGCCATTGTAAATTCAAAATAGGCCATCTGTGTAATTCAAGTAGATTCAATGAGTTGAAAACTCTTGCTACTTCATACTTCAATACAAAACAATGCTGAACTTTGACAAAAAATAGATTTTTAAATGTTGTAATAGTGATTTTATAATGTCTAAATATAAATCCATTAGCAAAACATGTGAAAAATAACTATATTATAGAGTGGAAATGGTAAAGGTAACAATAAATGATCCTCTGCTGCCATTTATTGGCCATAGTGGGAATCATGACATTCATTTTAATAGTATTTGTTTTTCTACCAGGTGAAATCTTGGCAGAAATCTTCCACTTAGCATGGCAAATTTTCCATGAATTATCTCTTTAAGTAAAAAAAAAAAAAATCCAGATGTTCTTTAAAATAAAATTTACTATATAAACATATGCAAAGATATGAATAACTTTGAGGCAAATGAATAATATTTTATATATATTTTTTCTTCTTCTTTTTTCCCCCCTTCAAATTACCTAACTAAAAAGTGAGCAATATTACGTTTCAAAATAAAAAAAGAATTAAAAAAAAGTGTTCTACTGCTGGGGTCTACCATCAAGAGTTAAAGGGGATGTTATGTGACATGCTTTTTTTATTATTATTGTTTTTACTTTCACTTTTTTCACTCCTGATGAGTTTGTATCCTTCCATGCAAAAGCTAGTATTGGGCTTTTGGTCATTGACTTGCAGAACGTTTTCTGCGTGAGTTAGAGGCTACTAGAATACAGGGGGGCGCCGACACTGATCTTGCATACACCTCGACAAATGTGCAGTTGCGCCCCTGGTCCTGACCAAGCGTCCATATGCGAGTTGGAAATGAGAACGTGTTGATTACATAGCTACACGCACTATTAGGCACTGCACTATGCTGGTATTTAATAATGATTACTGCTTTATAACTTAATTATGAACCCATATATGTTGTTCCATATGCCATAGGCAACTGTAAAAGTCGGGGAATAATCTATCGCAAATCTTAAAAATGATTTGGAATTATTTTCTGTATTTCCTTTTATCATGAATTATTATAGCAGCAATACAAACACGCAGCAAATTTACCGCAGATTTGCCTCAGATTTCTGTCCCTTTACTTAGCATTACTTTTCTCGCCAGTGGTTGTGAATCCTCATCCATCCATCCTAAATCTTATGAACGGTTACTACATTCACGACAACGGTTAACTGAAATCAATCATGTTTTGGCGTTAAGCAGTTTTAAGACATTACACCTTCAAAGCGCGGTTGTGTTGCGATTACGAAGCGCATCTTGCGTGGACGTGGCATGTGTGCCTCTTACTGGACCAATGAAACGCAACGCACCGATTGAGACACATAAATGCATTATTGTTGATAGAGCAAATTTAATCTAAACAAGTGGTTGTTACAAGTGATTACGACAATAGGAACATGATTTACAGTAATGTCCATCCATCGGTTATTACCATTTTCAGTGGACAGTTAACGTTTTATGTATAGTACTGTGAAGCAACACCTAAAAGCGTTCTGGCTCATCGCAAATCCATGAACGTGATCTTTTACCTGGTAATAGACGTACTGAAGGTACCGGTAGGGTATCCTCTGTTCGAAAGCACCCAAAGTCTCTCGCTTAGGATATGATTTTGAAAACACGGGAAAGTTTGTTTTGCACCTTTTCAGGCATGCAGCTCGCATTATGATGTGCCCCATGATCAAGAGGGTAGTTTCCGTGTTGTTCTCCTCATGTTCCCGGCCCACAGCGCTGCAGTTCTGACTGCAGTGCGCTTCGCTGTCCTTCAGCAGCCGATGAAGCCGCAGGCTCAGCTCCAGATATTTAGCGCTCTGCTTCCAGTCCTGAGCAGCGTACATCTCTAACGCGTGTCCGTACGCAGACTCCAGCGGCATGAGATCGTTCGCTGGAAAGCTGTTGAAGCTGTATTTCTCATACTGAGCCTGCACAGTACAGTAAAGATAGGCAGAACTGAAAAACACGACTAAACATATTCTTCTTTGGGCCATGCTTCTGTTCCTCACTGTAAGCGCCGATCCCTGTGTAATAACGGAGAGTGGAGATTCATGTCAGGCTGCACGTAGGAAATCTGTGGCCCTTTGGGGTTGAAGGAGTTTTACGGTGATGGAAAACTCTGCATGCCTCCCAAATTCTGATCTGGACTGCTTCTCTGGGTCTAAACGTCCGTCAATTTTAAGTATTCTAGTCATTGCTCTGAGAAAGACTTAAAGTTAGAAAAGTTTGACAGATTATTGTTGCTTTAAATATGAAAACAAATCTTCCTTTTGTC